TTTTTAGTTGTCCAGCTAATTTCTTTCTATTTTTTTAATAGAGACGGGGTCTCGCTCTTGCTCAGGCTGGTCTCGAACTCCTGAACTCGAATGATCCACTCGCCTAGGCCTCCCAGAGTGCTGGGATTACAGGCGTGAGCCACCACGCCTGGCCAAAATTTACCATTTTAACCCTTTTTGAATATACAACTTAGTGGCGTTAAGTACATTCATCTTGTTATGCAACCATCCATCTCCAGAATTTTTTCATCATGCCAAACTGAAACTCTGTACCTATTAAACAATAACTTCCTATTTCCTCCTCCTGCACAAACTCTAGAGACCACTCTTCTTTCTCTCTCTATGGAGTTGACTATATTTTAAGTCTCTCATTTAAAAGGAATCAGAATATTTGTCCTTTTGTGTCTGGATTATCTCACTTAGCATGACGTTTACAAAGTTCCTTCATGTTGCAGCATGTATCAGAATGTTGTTCCTTTTTATGGTTGAATAATATTCCATTGTATGTATGTACCACATTGTATTTATTCATTAGTTGATGGACATTTGGATTGTTTCCACCTTTTTGCTATTGTGAATAATGCTGCTGTGAGTGTTGTACAAATACCTGCTCAGGTTCCTGCTTTCACTTTTGAGTATCTTATACTCAGAAGTGGAATTGCTGAATCACATGGTAATTGTACATTTAATTTTTTGAGGAATCACCATACTGTCTTCCAGAGTGGCTGTACCGTTTTACATATGATAATTTTTATGTTAAATTATGAGAATTTGTTTTTTGCTGTGGGAAATTGACAGTTGCATACTCTATTGCAGAAAGTATATCTCTCTTAGCTAAATATTATGTGATGTATCACAGAGTTGTCTGCTGAACACTTCTAATTGCCATAGTGATGAATTACCAGTGTCCAGAGCCTTAGGGGCATGGGTGCTGGAGGGGTGGGTCGGAAAGAAGGGTGTTGGGGGCAGTCAGCAAAGTAGCGAAAATAATTCGCCATTCTGCCACTCTTGATTTGGCTCATCTGACTGAGTATCAGAGGGGATGAATAACAAAGATGGAGCGAGGAGGAGAGGAAGGGAGAGGAGTAGTGAGTTTGGACCGTGAGACTGGACCAGTCTGCTGATTCTTACCTACTTAGCGTGAAATTCACGTCAGCAAGGAAGTTTTTCTTCCTTCCCACTTTAGCTCGGATGTTCTCAGAGCCTTTTTCCTTTCTAAAGCTTCTATAATAAGTGTACAACTGACTTATGACCTTTAAACAAATTGACCTTGTAGGTGAAATACAAATGTATAATACAGTGGACTTAAACACCAGAAACAGAGAGGAAGAGAGAGGCAGAAGAGATTGAAACACTTTATTACTTTATTCTACTTGCATCAGACTAGTCGCCTCCTGAAGCCATGGGAAATCACAGTGCTTTGGTATCTGGAGAGAGGCGAATGCAAAGGCATATCTGCAATTTTTATTTCTGGTGGTCCTTTCTGCAAGACAACTCTATGATCCTCCCCATGGCAAAGCCTTTCGCTGTGATTCAAAAACAGAGAGTCTTCTAAAGGGCCAGTATAGATTCCACACACTTCTGCTAGCTGAGAGAGAGAGAGGAAAAAAGTCTTCTGTATATCACATCAAACATCATTTTTTTGTTAGGTTAAGATGGAAGTTTCACAATAATTTTTCGAACTCCCTATTGAGAAGGAAGCTCTGGTGGACAGAGCAACATCTGTTTTCTAAAAATAATTCTCTGTGGTTCAGTGTTACCTGACTATGAGGAAGAACTGTGTGACTTTAGACTATAAAGGTGATAAACTCGGGGTCAGATTGTTCAACTTTTTTTTTTTTTTGAGACAGAGTCTCACTGTGTTGCCCAGGCTAGAGTGCTGTGGCGTCATCCTAGCTCACAGCAACCTCAATCTCCTGGGCTCAAGCAATCCTCCTGCCTCAGTCTCCCAAGTAGCTGGGACTACAGTCATGCGCCACCATGCCCGGCTAA